TTTTTTTTTTTTTTTTTTTTTTTTTTTTTTTTTGCGGTTAAATGAAGCGCTTAGAGTTTAATGCAACTTTGAAGAGGTTTTTCTTTAGTGGTTATCATTTATCTCTGGCTGTTACTTCTGTTAGTATTGGCAGACTTCAACGAAGTTCGCTTTCAGTTTCATTTTGGCGTATTAAAAGGCTACCAGGTTTTTTCTTTTGTTCCAATTAAGTTTCCTCTCTTGTCTTTTCTCCAAAACAGTTAGCTAATTGTTTTTTGAAATAAAAATTTTGTTTTGTTGTTAATCTGTAAGTAAATATTTCATTTTATATGGTAATAATTTATACGTTGGATACATTAAAGGATTGGGAAAAATTTAGGTTTCAAATTTGCAGGTGCTAATAACTTTCAGTAGCTAAGATGATAAGGGTTTTATGGAATATCAGAACTGCTGTCGTAAATCACTTATTACTATGTGGAATAAATTTGTGTAATATCATATTTAATGTGTACTATATAATAGACTTTTTTTTCTAGTTTTTTTCTTTTCTAAAATGCTTCTTATTTACAGGTCGCGAAAGTTTTGCCAGAGGAATGAAGTTAACGGGTTTTGGCTATTACAGTCATTAATTTGTAATGGTTAGTCGCCGTTATTGCAGTTGTCTTAACTGTGGACAGATATTCGTTGTCTTTTAATCCGATCACATATCTACATATAAACATATATATTGAATCGACAGTGTTTGGCGTTGGTCAGAACACAGCAGTGAAATTATATAACGTAATGAATCTGGAATAAAATGGGCCTACACATACGAGAACAACAGCTGATGCAAGGTGAGCGCGTTGTTCCATTGTAGCTAACGTTTTTAACTGCCCACTAGGCGGTTGCTTTTGCCAAACCCTGCAGTTATGTTATTCTCTGGTAGTACAGCTGTGGCGATTGCGAAAAAAGACGAAAAAAAAGAAAAAAAATGTGACAAAGGTTAGTGATTCAGTGAGGTTATTTGCGGACATTTCTGTATTCTCTAACATATTTCAGTCATTACTCAAGTAAATGCCATATTTTTAAAGAGTCATGTCATTTATACCGCAGGCTCTAGAACGGATCGCACAATGAATTTCATCTGTTTTTTATTCGTCAATTTTTTTTCCTTTACGTTGATTTTTTTTGAGGGATGAGAGTTTAACGAATAACATAGGTCTAAGCAACTGTTTTTTGCTGTTTCTTGGTTGAGTAATTCTATTTTAGGTAATAGAATATAGTATACGTTTGAGTTAAAGAGTTAAGAAGAGGAGATCTGCGTGAGGTTATAGGTTGTTTATGACGAGTGAATTTCATGATATTCGGGGACATGCTTTTACAAAGGTCATTCCGCTATAACTCTTCTGATGTTAATATTTCTACGGTGGAACTTTCATTTTTTTAGGAGTAGTTAATTATGAATATGATACCTTTGTAGTTTTGTTGGGGAAGGGCTATGAAAGGTTAATATGCTTCAGATTAATTCTTTTTTGAAACAGTGCAGTCTGTTTTTACTTAGTGAGGCCTCTCAAGGACAGCCAGAATGCCTCGGAAGTGATGTTAGTGATGATGAAAATTAGCAGTGGTAGACCCCGATCTGGGCATATATTTTCATACTTATTTTATTTTACTGTAGGATTTTAATTTTAGAAATTTTTAGACGAAAACCGGTATGAGTTTCAAGCATCGGTCTTTCTTAAATGGGCGAGTGCAATAACAAACGAATCTTTAAATGAATTGTCAGATATTTTTAAAGGGAAATTTCTTTCAGTGTTTACACAGCTTATTACAGGGAAAACATTTGTGAGTCTTTCTTTAGTATTAATTTCTTGACTTTTTATTCTCTCAGCTGCTTATCGACTAAAAGATTTGGAAAACTGTTATATATTTATAATGCTAGACATCAGAGACCAGCTGCATTTTTGTTGTGGAAGAATTTGTCTAAGCTTTCAATGACCTTTGTTTTGTTGCCAACATAGCTTTATAATGAGTTTATTTAATACAGGAATCATGCCCTTTTATTAACAAGTAGTTAATTTGTCGTTCAGGTTGCAAGCGGATCACGTTCTGAAGACATATCAACTGTTTTCCAACTACTTGATGATGGAGATCGATTTGCTCAGATAAATATTCTTGATGTTACTGACGGAAATCTCAAAGCGTTGTGCTCTGTTGTTTGGCAGTTTATACAACTGTTTTGGAAACGGTAATTCTGCGGTTTTATTCTCCATTTGGCTGTTTTCGTAAACGGTTTAATACAAAGTGAAGTTTATGATTAGACGGACATCACTACATTTTTTCTTATTTTTTAACAAATTTGGTTAAGATTTGGCCCCGAGGATGTTCGAGATCAAAAGTTATCAGAAGTCATTAAAGATTGGTGCTTGGAACGCACGAAGAAGTTTGAAGAAGTTCAAATTACTGATTTTACATCATCATGGCGAGATGGGTTCTCGTTGAATGCGCTGTTAGCGTCGTATAAGTGCGTTTCATAAGTTGTATTTGTTATTACTGTAACTTAAGGATGTGATCGCTTGATTGCTTTAGTGCCAAAGCAATCGCTATGAATGAAGTTAGAGAAATGCGAGGTGATGAAAGGCTTGAGCATGCAATGAGTGTTGCCGAACGTCGTTATGGAGTTCCACGATTACTTATGCCAAAAGGTTTGCAGATTTTGGAAATATCTTCGTTTGGTTATATTCTATCCTGTTCTCTTAGAGTTCACTTCCTCACAGGAGTTACTCACTCTTTTGTTAATGTAGGCAATTTTTCTGTCTCTGGGTGTCTTAACAAAGAAATGGATTTTGTGACATTATTGAAACCTTTTTCTAAGACAGTGCAGCTGTAATTTTTTTGTAAACCAGTTGTGCTTTTTATGTGTGGCTGCAACTCACTGTATTTAAATTACAGATTTTGTTAGCGAGTATTTGGATATGAAGTGCGTTGTGTGTTATTTAATGATGATTTATTTGGCACTCGCTGCGAAAAAAACAAAAAGTTTGAGACGCCGTAGCGCTCCACAGCCCCCTACCGGTTCAATAACTAAAACTGACTCTCAAGATTCTAAGGCATCTGGCTCAACTGGCCACTCATTGAAAACCACTTCAATGGAATCGCTTAGAAGACATTCGCAACAGTCAACTGAGGTGATGGTCAAAGCCGTTAACTTTTCATCTTTATAGTATCTGTATATTTTGTTCAATTTTTACAGAACGTTGATGCACGTTCTCGGAAATCATCCAGTTCTAGCCAGAGGTCTGGGCGTAAGGGACGCAAGTGCCTAGAAGAAACCGTTGCTGATTATGAGTCTTGTCTGGAACAAGTTTTGACTTGGTTGCTAGAAGCTGAGGAACGTGCTAACAACATGGATCCAGTAGAAGAAAAAGATGTAATGCCAATTGTGAAAAAAAATTCAATGGAAAAGCTTCTTTTAATTTTTCAGAGCTAATTTAGAGTTATTTCTTTTTAAGGTTGAATTAGTAAAAATCCAGTTTCGAGAACACGAAAGCTTTATGCAGTCCTTGACTGACAGTCAAGATAGCGTTGGACGCGTTTTACATCGGTAGATTTTGAAGAATTCTTCATTTATTTTATTTTGGTGATGGCCTTCTGTAG